CAATACACCAGGTGAGGTTTTCGTAATATACTGTTACAATACAGATGTTAAACAGAGAGGGGGAAGTATGCAAATCCCAAACTACAGGAGACAGCAGGGTTATCGTCTTTATAAAAGTTTCAGCACAAAAGAGCATCTTAATGCCGGATATCAGCAGCTCAGGAGCTTCTAGCTGCTAGGAAGAGAAATTCATATGTGAGCCATTCCCCACCTAGGTAAGAAGCAGGAACAAAGATTCATTCAGTCACTCAATGAGAATGGATAAAATAATGACCACATACCAGGCGCCACGCTAAGTATTTTGGGTACCTTGTCACTTTCATCTTTGTGGCAAAGGTGCTGTGGCAGTAAAGCTTTGAATCCAAGTCTCCCAGTGCCAAGCCCAAGGGCCCCTTGGAGCCATGGCTTCCCCCTCACACTGGGCCTCACACTGGCTTCCCAGGGACAGCCATGGACAGCCATGACCTTGGCTTGGCCAAAACAAGACACGTGCTTTTAAAGGAAGCCAGCTTAGACCTAGGGGGAACATTTGTGTTTGTCCAGGACTACCCTGGTCTTAGCACTAAAAGTACTGTGTCCTGGGAAACCCCTCAGGCCCAGGGAAACCAGGATGGTTGATTACCCTCTGCAAACACTTCCAGCAAACTGTGCTGCTTCCAGGGTGGCCACGCCCATAGACAGAGCCATAAAGATCCTGAATTGGTCCCAGGACACTTTCACCCAGTCCTTCCCAAGGGCATGAGGCACCTGGATGTGAGAGGTAATGTGCTGAAGAAGTCACGTGGCTCACACTACGTTGGCCCTTGGCTGATTACGATGAGAAAGCCATGTGTCTGCAGCAGGCATCGCCATTTTCGGTCCTCGTGGGTTTCCAGACACTGTCACTTTTGAGTACTATCCTTTGCATATGGCAGCATCTAGCTTGTTCTCTCCATTGCTGTTACACATACTATCTCATTTAACCTCAAAAAGAGTCCTTGCTGTTGGCACTGCGATGTTCCACTTTACAGAGGAGCAGCCGATGTAGGGAAATGGAACGATCTCGCAGGGCCACACAGTTCCTGAGAGGCCGAGATAGGACTAGAGAGTCCTGTCTGCACTGAGCATCAGCTTTGCACTGCTTCCACCCCCTGGCCCTCCCTCCTCCATCCCTCAGCGAATCATCGGCTTCCATCTCATGGGGAATTACTGTTCTCCTTGAATCTCCTCTTCCAGATAGTTTATATTTATTTGTGTGATTATCAAATTGAAATCTGTTTTCCCCTTAAGACAGTGATCTCTGGACATGATCCCTAACTGACCAGTATATCTCTCTCTGGCCCGTACCCCAATGCCTGGAACACAGTAGGTCCTCTGTAAATACGTGTTTAACAAGTGAGTGGAATAACATCTACCCCTGAGACTAATCCTTTTCCCATTGTATCCATCCCTTTTCCCCAGCCACCTTGCTACTACCCCTGTGAGTGACAAGAGAGGTGTTAATACCCGGATTTTTCAAATGAGGAAATTAGAAAACAGCAGTTGATTATCTTTGTCTAGGATCATCTTTTCTGAAGGGGATGGATGTGAGGAATCCCAGCCACCTACCTCGAGGGGACCTTTACAAAGCCTGGGGATTTTATCAAGGTCTAGCTTTTCGTGCAGGTGAAATTAATCTTAAATTTGTCCCTAAATCATTATGCCACAATGATCACAGTACCTAGCATTTGTGGAGTACTTCACAAAATGTGCATAGAATTTCCCTATTTAGAGCACTTAATTGTCATAATTTTACAGATACTATCAATGAGCTGAGAACAGTTAAAGTGTTCAAGATTGGCTTATGCCTATAATGCCAGCACTTTGGGAGGCAGAGGCAGGAGGATCCTTTGAGCCTGGGAGTTCAAAACCAGACTGGGCAACATAGCAAGACCCCATCTCTATAAAAAATTTAAAAACTAACTGGTGGTAGGCACCTGTGGTCCCAGCTACTCAGGCAGCTGAGGCGAAAGCATTGCTTAAGCCCAAGAGTTCAAGGTTTCAAAGGACTATGCTGGTGCCACAGCACTCCAGCCTGGGTGATAGAGTGAGACATTGTCTCAAAAAAAAAAATTGTTCAAGATCATCATGCAGCCAGTAAGTAATATAGCTAGGGTTCAAATTTAAGCCATTACACCCCAAATTTTATATTATTTGTACTATACTAATTTGTCAATTATCTATGGCTGTTTGAGAACTCAACAATATTTTGATGGAAATATCTTAAAAATGCTTCCTACTCATAGTTTCATTTTTTATAAGAGCTTAATCGAGATATAATTCACATACTATAAAAGTCACTCTTCTAAAGTGCACGATTTAGTGGTTTTTTAGCATATTCACCAAGTAGGATGACCACCATAACTGTGTAATTTTAGGACACTTTTATCACCTCAAAAAGAAACCTCATACTCATTAGCTGTCACTGTTCATTCTCTCCTCCCCCGGTCCCTGGCAAGCACTAATCCACTTGTGTCTCTGTGGATTTGACTATTCCAGACATTTCATGTAAATGGAATTCTGTCATATGCAGCCTTTTGTAAATGGCTTCTCTCACTGTTCTCTAGGTTCATCCATGTTGTACCACATCTCAGGTCCCTTTTTATAGCAGAATAATATTCCATTCTTTGGCGGTACCACATTCTGTTCATTCATTCATACATGATTTTTTCAATTTTGAGCCAACAGGGAAAAATTGGAAGACTTAATACAAAATCCAGGTGTCCAGTACACCTAGAAAACTCAGAAAATTTAATGTCACCTTCCTCTTGGCGATGATGTGCAGTTACTGAGATCTCACAGTGCCCCCTCCCATCAGAGCGGCATGCTGTGCAGCACTGCCTCCCCACCTACCCCAGCCCTGATTGTTCCAACTCTCCTCTCACTACTGTGGTGTCTTGTGTGGCCCTGGTGGGTTTGAGGTCCATCATGGATGTGGTGTGGGTAGATGTTAGAATCCCTAACTCAACTCAACCTTCTGCATTCCAGTCTTCTCTCCCTCATTGGTTTACTTCCTGGCCTCCTGACTACAACCCCTTAACTCACCTTTGATATTCATAATAACAGACAGTCAGGACTGACGATGATTCCATTCAAGTCATCTGCTCCCACCCAAGGACACAGTCTCACACCCTGAAAGAAACACGGTAAACTGACAAATTTCTATACAATTTGGCAGATGTCTTTGCTTGTAACATTTCAGTGGGCCCCCCTTATTCCAGAATGGCAGCATGTATTATCCAAGCTTGTTTTGAGACCAAAATAAAACAACAAAACAAATCAAAAAGAAGCTCTGCACACCCTGGGTTGAGCACGCGCTTCAGACCCTCTCAAATCTGTGTCAGAGCTCTGCATTCACAGTAGCCCCTGCTACCAGAGACTTTATCATCCTTTGTTCTTTTCCTTTTCTTCTAGAGGAAGAATTCAGATTATCCTCTGATAATTTGGACGTAAAAGACTCCCTTGCATTTAATGACTTAAAACAAAAAAAGACTTTCTACCAGTAAAGGGAAATAACAGATCCCAATGCTCTAAGTGCCTTATATAATTACTGTAATACGAAGAGCATTAGTATTTCCATGGACTTTACCTTACTGAACCGCATGTCTGCAAACATTTAAAGAAGCATAGTTCACACATGCATGTGCACACACACGCACACACATCCCCACTCACACACTATGTATGCAGCATAGAGATTGACGCAGCTTGAAAAAGCACAGGACTCAGAGGACCATTAGTACTGCAGGACCTTGCCGGGCTTTTTGTTTTGTTTTGTGCGAGAAAGAGTCTCCCTCTGTCACCCAGGCTGGAGTGCAATGGTGTCATCTCGGCTCACTGCAACCTCCTCCTCCCAGGTGTGAGCGATTCTTCTGCCTCAGCCTCCCAAGTAGTTGGGACTACAGGCACGCACCACCATGCCCAGCTAATTTTTGTATTTTTCGTAGAGACAGGGTTTCACCACGTTGGCCAGGCTGGTCTTGAACTCCTGACCTCAGGTGATCTCCCCGCCTCAGCCTCCCAAAGTGCTGGGATTACAGACTTCTACCATGCCAATTTTGTGTTTTTTAGTAGAGACGGGGTTTTGCCATATTGGCCAGGCTGGTCTTGAACTCCTGACTTCAGATGATCTGCTTCCCAAAGGGCTGGAATTACAGGTGTGAGCCACCGCACCCTGCCCAGTACAGGGTTTTTTATACATGGAGTTTGACAACGTCTTGCCAAAGTCTGACAAACCTGCAAAAATATGTTTTACTCCTCCTAGTAAATATAAGCGAGTAGGAAAAGCTGTGATTTTTTTTTTCCCAGAGGTAGAGGTTTTATTGCGTAAAACACTGGATAAAACTGGGCTGCTTCAAAGACATTTTATTCTAACAGCAGAAAGAAAACAGTCATTGCTGAAAAAACAACTTTTAATACTTTCTATACCAGAATAAAGTTCTGTCAACTGATGTATTATAATAATAAATAATGACCAAGAATAAACTTTAAATACAAAGTTTTCTACTTGTTACAAGCATAGCAACAAAATCCTCTACTCCTATTGATCTCAGATTTCCTCCAAGATAGATTTTTTTTTCTTTGCGTAGGAATGTAGACAGTATTATGACCAGCATCACAGACTACAGAAGTTACAGGGAAAAAACTTGACATGTTTAGATATGAGAACCTGATGACATTCAGAAACTGACGCTGCATCACTGTGGCTGTCACTTGTTTGTATTACAAGTTACAAATGTTCTGGAAAGAAGGCCTGTGTCAGAGGGGGAAGGACAGTAGCACTGGACAAAATGGAATCAACACACACGCCACAAAGAAGAGGGGATGTTCCCAGTGTCACAAACAGAATTATTGCCTGTCGCATCTGAGGATGCTGAAAAGACACAAAAAAATACTGAAAGAGCTCCCAAAGTGCTAGAAATGGAATGTGGCTCTCATTTTTCCCCCACTTTTTTTTTTTTCCTCTTTTTTTTTCTTTTTTCTTTTTTTTTTTCATCTTTTTTTTTTTTCTTTTTTTCTTTTTCTTTGCTAAGATACCAAAGGCAGAGCAAACACAGAAAGCAAGGGACTGGCACAGTCACCAAACACAGTAGTGCAGTTAAAATCCTAAAGCTTACTACAGTCGGAAAGTTTTCAATAACATTTCAGTCCTTTCTCTAGGATCATAGAAACAGTTGCATTAAGTTTATCAACTCGATTTAAGTAAGGCAGTGAGAACTATACTAGAAAAACAAGAAAGCAGCTTGCTCTATGCCAGATGGGTCCAAGTTGCACAGCGACCTCATTTACACTGAAACCTCGGTTAGATGACACCCTTTTGACAGCATATGCAAACCGGATTCCTTATTAGCCTGAGATTCTTTCTGGTCTCAGGATAGCACTAAGAATTTTATTTACATTGATTGCAGTTTAGTATTTTTGTAAACTGCTGTAGGCAGAGCTGAAGTTTTTAAGGCCCTGGGGTTTAATCTGTGCTCCCAGCCTGCAAGGAAATATTGACTTTTTTTTTTAAGTCTGAATGATTTTGTTTTAGAAGAAGTTAATACTTTCATACTTCTCTACCACCACAAGCAACAGCACCAAATTCATGTCACTCAAAGGAAGTATGTTAAAAGGCTCAACTTTACACCATGCTAGCAGATTCAAGAATAAACCTTTAACTAGTCTTCTTAAATCATTTTTTAATGAGTTAAGTGTTTCATTATTGACACTCAAAATCTCCTTCTGTGTGGTGCAGAACTTGATAAATTTGGAGTATCCAATCAGTAGAAAATCTAAAATCTACAAAAATATAGAACACATTTGTTTTACAAAAACAGACATTTTAACTCAAACAGTTTTCGTCATTAGAGATAGAGAGCAGGATGTTTAGATTCATATTTTAATACAAGCTATTTCATAAGAGCTTGCCGGAGAAGAAAATCTTGCTTCATGTCTGTGACACTTATAAAAACCAACACATGAAAAAAAATCTGATAATAAGGACTGGAGCAGCCTTCATTCAAGTAAAATTTTAAAAATCATAATAAAAAAACTTTCTATTATTACCTACATTTTAATTGCTCACCAGCATCTTCTATGGATGGGGTTAGCTAGTTTTTCTAACAACATTTTATATAATTACCCTACATTTTTTTAAATAGCAACTTCCTTCTTCATCCAAAAATTTTTTTGAAAAAAGAGAAAAAGACCACCAAGAACAAAACATTTCCCTCAATACTGCAATTTGATCTAAAAAAAAGGAATTACTCATCAAACCTGCAATGGACATTTGTCTGCAGACACTTCCTGATCATTGATTTCATTTGGCTGTGTATTTTGTAAAAATGCGCATTTAAGATTTCAATCCTCTGCAGTGCCGGTCAGCCCTGGCGCTGGCTGCGGGCCGTCTAAGGTTTCTCCAAGAGTGCAGTTACAACACCACGTGAATTGATTTTCTCTGCAGTGACCGCTCCAGTCTGACTGGCACCGCAGCTGCCTCCCGACACATCTCATTAGGGTTCTAGGCAAATGACAGCAGCTGGTGTCAGATTATAGAGGTGTTTTCAACAACGAAAACACAGCCCCTCCATCTTCAACGCAACACTAGATCATTTAGATGGTATCGTTTTTCGGTTAAGAGCATTATTTTTGGACAAAGACGGCTCTCGAGTTGGAAGGGCCCCCAGCTCTCTCCAGCTCAGAGGGCACCAAAAATTTTTGAAATCACTTTTCTCCCACCTGCATTGTTTTGGAAGTACTTGTTGCCGGGTAACAGTTTAGCAGCCATTTTCAAGGGCTGGGGAATTTTTTTTTATATATATATAGAGATATCTTTTTAAAATTTTTTAAATGTTCTATACACTATTAGGGGGGTTGTACATGATTTTTTTCCCCTTGAAATGCAGTTAGCAAACTTTTACCAGATGCATAATGTTAAAACTGTGTAAAATACTATTGCAATATACAGGTTGGTCTGCTCAGTTGGTCTCCTCCTGGCCCTTGCCACCCTCTTCCGTGAGGTCTGCAGAGCTCCCCGCCTTGACAGCTGTAGGCTCCTCGAAATTTCCAGAAGCCTCCGAGTCGACCCTGGAGCGCTTGAACCTGCGGTCGGGATACTGGCTGTTGTCAAAAGGCATGCGATGGACGCAGAGGACATGGGTCTTCAGGTTCCCCTTCTGAGAGGCACTGTAGGGACAGTAGCGGCACTGGAAAGGCCTGTGACCTGTGGGCAGAAAGAGTGGCTGGTCAGCACTGCTGCTCACACCTTCCTGGCCCCCAGGGCTCAAAGGATCATCATCGCAATCACCAGTATGATCAATATCATTATTACTTTGCAAAAATCAACTAGCAAGGGTTAGAAAAGCAGCCGATACATCAAGCACATAAGCTAAGATTTAGAAGGTCTTCCGATCCCTGAATATTTTTGTTGTTGTTGTTAGAGATGTAGTCTTGTTCCTCATCTCAGGCTGGGAGTGCAGTGGTACTATTATATCTCACTGTAGCCTCACACTCCTGGGCTTAAGCCATCCTCCCGCCTTACCCTCCAGAGTAGCTGGGACTACAGTTACACCACAATGTCCAGCAATGTTGTTTGTTTGTTTTAGAAACAGGATCTCGCTATATTGCCTAGGCTGGTCTCAAGCTCCTTCTTCAAGGGATCCTCCCTTTTCGACCACTTAAGTAGCTGAGATTACAGGTGCAAGCCACCACACCAGGCTCTTGCTAGAGTTTTGAACCCAGACTTTCTAGGTAATTGAAGATAAATCTCCCCATACCTGAATTTTTTCTCTATAAAGGGTTAGATAGTAAATAGTCCCAGATTTGCAGGCAAAGAGGCAAAATCCAAGATATTATGTAGATATTTGTAGAACAAGACAGGAAACAAATATTCCTCAACTTTTTATTGATGAAATTCAAAACTTTATTTATGGACACTGAAATTTAAATTGCATATAAATTTCATGTGGGATGAACGACTATCATTCTCATTTGAGATTTTTCCCAAACATTAAGAACATGCATAAACCATTCCTAGCTCACAGGCTATATAAAAACAAACAGTTGCTGGGCACGGTGGCTCACACCTGGAATCCCAACACTTTGGGAGGCTGAGGCAAGTCAGCTGTTTGAGCCCAGGAATTTGAGATCAGCCTGGGCAACATGGTGAGACTGTCTGTACAAAACAATTTGAAAATTAGCCAGGGACATGCCTGTAGTCCCAGCTACTCAGGAGGCTTAGGTGGGAGGATCACCTGAGCCCGGGTGTTTGAGGTGGCAGTAAGCTATGATGGTGCCAGTGCACTACAGCCTGAACAACAAGCAAGACCCTGTCACAAACACAAAGAACAAACAAACAAACAAAAAAACAGACAATAGTTCGATTTGGCTCACGAGCTACACTTTGCTGATCCCCGTTCTGCACAAAGACCATAAATCCTTCCATCTGGGAGTCTGACTCAGGCCTCAGGGCAAAGCCAGTTCACGTTCTTATCCTCCCATTGACTCTTCATTGTTGAGCAAACCAAGAATGGCAAGGGAGCGTGTGTTTGGGGGTGGGGTAGGTGAGGAGTGCCACCCAATGCTTGCTCTTAGGCAGAGTTGGAAGGGCTGAGCTGGGGGGATTTGTAGAGTCTGAGGGTCTCAGGGGCAGCAGCAGAAGTTGTCGGGACCGGGAGCAAGATGAACAGGTAACCGAGGCCAGCATGAGTTTTAAAGAAGGTAGATTTTGAATAGTGACTCTTGAAATAAAACCTTCCTAGAAAGATTCTAATTTGGAACAGAAGGTGGATTCTTGTGGAAGTTCACCTAATCCTCCAAGCGTGACATCTCTACCCTGATGCACCGCAGCCATGCACAGACTCTGCCATCTTGAGGAACTGGTAAAACATCTGGCTGGGGAAGTTATTCTGAAGCAATGACATCTCCCCTGCTTCCGGGAAGTTGTTGATGAGACATTCCTGGAAGTTCTCGTGTGCTGTTTCACCCAGCACCCAGAGAGGTCAGGGCCCAGAGCTGGGTTTCATTTGCTCAAAAAAATAAACAAGTAAATAAACAGAGGCCCCCATCATTGGCTCCAGAAAATGGACAAACACATATTCAGCACTTTTTCTAAAGCAGTAATGGCAGTCCTGTGTCTATTTAGCAAAACGGTCTTGTTCCTGAGAAACAGGAAGCCAACGCAACGTTGGAAGCAGAAGCTCACTTTCCCACTGAATTGCACCCAGTGCTAAATTCTTGCTTCTTGTTGGGTTTCTGGAGTTCACTGCCTCCTTGTCCCCTCAAGACCAACTGGTGTCCAGGACTAATCCATTCTACCTGTTGAATCTTTTCCTTTGCAATGCTGACTTCAGAACCAGGTCCAGTCTGTACCAATTCTTGTCTAGACTATGAATATGGTAGCCCGCGGGAGCCTTCATGCTTCCAGTTTCCCACCTCCAGCCTGTCCTCCCCAGGAACAGCAGAGCAAGTGCCTAAAGCAGAAGCTCAACCTGTGATTTCTTTGCCCCAGATCTTTGATGGCCACTGGCCTCCAAAGGAATAATAAGGACTTTCATGGCTCAATCCTAAAACACCCTTCCATTCCACACTACAGCACAACCCCTTTTGCCCACAACAAACCAAACATCATCATGGTCTCTGCACATAGACGTCACTGTGCAGTGTCTCCATACCCCTGCTTGTCTACCCTCTCTCTGAAATGCCACTTCATTCTCTGCAGACTCAAACCTACTTCTCTGTTCAGGCTCTGATCAGCGGGATGCCTGCTTTATGGGCCCGAATGTATGTACTGGTCCTCCCAAAAGGCTGTGAATTCGTGGAGCAAGAACCATCACCATCTCAGTGTTATGAATGCCAAGCCCAGTGCCTGGCACAAAGCAGGTAGGCATGAACTATTTATTATCTTCTTGTATCACCTTCCCTTTTTCTAAGGAATTATACATTTTTGGATTTTCTTTTTCTTTTTTTTTTTTTTTTTTTTTTAGATGGAGTCTCACTCTGTTGCCCAGGTTGGAGTGCAGTGGCATGATCTCAGCTTACTGCAACCTCTGTCTCCTGGGTTCAAGCGATTCTCCCTCCTTAGACTCCCCGAGTAGCTGGGATTACAGGCATGCGCCACAACACCCAGCTAATTTTTGTATTTTTAGAGAGATGGGGTTTCTCCATGTTGGCCAGGCTGGTCTCAAACTCCTGACTTCCGGTGATCAGCCCACTTTGGCCTCCCAAAGTGCTGGGATTACAGAAGTGAGCTACCATGCCCGGCCAGAAACTATACATTTTTGGATAGTGCTTCTGCTGCTTCTATTTCTACTACTGACCCTGACACAAGGCTGAATTTGATCAACCTTCTCACTTCAAGAAGCCAATTTGCAAATCTACAGACTTTGGAGTTAAAAACAAAATAAAGTACAAGAACAGTGACTTGCTGTGGACCCTTCCTGACAGTTAACCGCAGGAAGAAGAGCACAGCCAGCACCAGGGGCCGGTATCATGATTGCCAAGTAAGAGAAGGAGTCCCCAGAGTGACTGCCCGTTTACTGTCTTGCCACCTTTTTCACCGTAAGGGCTTAGTCACCTAGGGAAGGCCCTGGGTTGGGAGGGGAAGAACAACTGAGACGTATTTCTAATGCAAATTTACAATTGTATGAAAAACTGTAAATGGTCCCTGTTTTCCATGACCTAGGAGTTAGGGCATAGACTGAAGGATGGAATTAAGATGCCAGTCAGAGACAATGGCATGAGCAAAGCCATGCCCATTCTCCCTACCATAATGGTGAATCTAACAGGGCTAAACTGAGCATCAGTGAGTTCCAAGTAGATCCTCCTTGCCAAGCAGCTTAGTCCCCAAGATTCAGCCATCCAATATTTGAAATTATCATCCCTGTGGACCCGAAGCTATGCCCAGGACTCACTGAGAGAGGGTTCGAGCTACTCTGAACCCTATTGAGCAAGAAAAAGGTGGGCCCGATTTGTAGCTGGAGGCCTAGAAGCCAATTGAAGGTTGTCCCAAACAACACAGAGAATGAGCAAGACACCAGGAAACCTGAGAAATGTTTCGAGGCTCTGGCCAAAGCTTCTCTGAAATGGACTGTATTTTTCTGTTTCTACCCAGGGCAGCTCTGTGGCAGCTTGTGGACAAAGGCTGGCCACTGTCCTAATTACCATGGCTCAGATAAAACTAGGGTTAAGTCATTCATTTATTCATTATAGGGCAATAATTTATTGATGGAGAATGTCACCATCATTTGACAAGTCTTTCGAGTAAAGAACTCCAAATCGTAAGTAAAAATAAAAAATAAAACCAAAACCCTTGGTACCATGATCCAAAGAGGCCAGCAGAACTACGAAACAAAGTGACCAGACCTCAGTATTGTTTATAAATCTGCCTCGGTTTACCAGGATGACATTGGTTCTTCCATTCTTCAGTTGTTTTTGTTCATCAGCAAAACTGTTTATTGTATTTTCTTTTCTGTTTTTGTTTGTTTGTTTCTTTTTTTTGAGACGGAGTTTCGCTCTTTGCCCAGGCTGGAGTGCAGTGGCACGATCTCCGCTCACTGCAAGCTCTGCCTCCTGCATTCTCGCCATTCTCCTGCCTCAGCCTCCCAAGTAGCTGGAACTACAGGCACCCACCACCATGCCCAGCTAATTTTTTGTATTTTTTTTTTAGTAGAGACGGGTTTTCACCGTGTTAGCCAGGATCGTCTTGATCTCCTGACCTCGTGATCTACCCGCCTCGACCTCCCAAAGTGCTGGGATGACAGGTGTGAGCCACCCCACCCGGTCAACTGTCTATTGTATTTTCTATTGTTACATTAGCAAGTAATAATTTCACATATGAATCCTATGCTACATGGAAGCCGCCCTCCCTACAAATGATACTGCCACAGGAGTGATACAATGTGCCTCTTGGCAAACTAAAATGTGAACCTCAGATATCACCTTTATTTGCAATGAAAGCCTTTTTGATTTGGCCAACTTGGTATAAAAGCACTTAGTACTTTTATTCCACCAGTTGATTTTAAAATATTAATCATGATTTTATCCTATAGTTATATTTTGAATCTCTGTTTCTTGGGAATAGTCAAAATGTATAACAATAATTCTGGCAGATTTGGATACTTCACTAGTCAAAACATTAGTATTGAATAGGTTTCATTTTCACTTAGGTGAGATGGAAATCTATATGTAAATCCATCTAAAGCCATGCATGTATCCATTTGTAGA